TAGCTGAAGTTTTATCGCCGATAGGTGGATTATCTCGTTTATCATGCATTAATCGTGTTATATTGCAAGAATTAGTTGCTTTTTTAAAGCCATTTAAAAAAGTTATTGTAGATATTCAGCATAATGACGCTACTCTTCACAAAGTTGTACCATCCACCTGGTATTTGAAAGATCATTGTTCAAGCTTAGTCATTAATTCACATCGTGGTATCAAATATTTCAAACAAAAGTGTTTAACAATTATGAATAATAAACTCGATTTAACAGACATTCATTATGCTGCTGCAATATTAGATCCAACTATTAGACAATTAAAAGGTTGTACAGCAGGTGAACAGGCAAGAGGACAAAAATTTTTGAAACGAAGACTGGACAAGATGACAAATCAACAATTAGCTTCCCCAATAGTATCTGATGTTGATGATGAACAAAATTCTGATGATGAGTACTATTTGAATCGGTATTCTGATCAACAGAGTTGTGAGTAATTTGTTAATTAGTTATCATCTGTGACTGCAAGGCAAAACCGATAGTGTTAATAATTCTTTGACCCATGTTTTATAACAAAAAGACGTGTAGCCAATTGATGATTTACGCCTTTTCTCAATATTTTAGGTGGAAGGAAAAACAAGAAAGATGAATTGAGCAAATATATGAAATATGATCATCCGGATGTTGATAAAAATATATATACAAAACCGATTAATTTAAATAATAAAAAGATCAAAGTTTGTGATCCTTTACTATTTTGGAAACACCTTCCAAAAACGTTTCCTTTATTGGCTAAAGTAGTCGAACAAATTTTGGCTATTCCGGCGACATCAGCTAGTGTAGAACGCTCGTTTAGTGGTGCAGGTTTAACTATTACAGAACTGAGAACAAATATCAATCCGGATACATTAAACGACTGTGTATTTCTGAGATCTGTAAAGAAGCAAATGAAAAATTGATTTATATTTGTTTAGTTGTAACTACATTTTTTTATTATTTTGCTGGTGTCAAAGAAAAGAAAAAAGAGAAACATAACTAAATTAAAAAAAACCAACGACTTAGATATGCCTCGCATTATGATGATTAGACTTCATGATAACACACGATCGAGACAAACGGTTTTCTGTTTCGAGTTATTGTTAGGTCAACTAAGAAAAATTTTCGGGTCATTCGGGTCGGGTCCAAAAGCCTTCGGATCGGGTCGGGTTCGGGTTAATATAAAAAATATTGAATCGGGTCGGGTCGGGTTCGGGTAAAAAATGTTCGGGTCGCGTCGGGTTCGGGTCATCCACGTAAGACCCGATTCGTTCTCTGTTCTCTATCACAACTCACCTTTTATACAATAAAAATATCATATTTGGGATCAACGTCAAAACGGAGTCGAATGATATACATTTCGAGAGTTTTAGTGGATCTCTGTCGTTTCGCCAAAAGACGATTCGCCAAAAGACAATTCGCCATGGCGAAAAGTCATGGGACGTTTCGCCAATTGGCGAAAGCGTACAAATTCTTGGCGAAACGGCACTGACATTTCGCCATGTCGAATCGCCTTGCGGCGAAACGGTTTTTTAACATCTTTTATGTACGCAAAATTTTGGGGAATCTCTGACGTTTCGCCAGAGCACGATTCGCCGAAAGACAATTTCCTGGGAACCTCCCTCGAAATATATATTTTCAAACAAACTAAAAACAAATAACTACGAACACAGAGTCTTGAAAATAGAAATGCTAGAAATGCGTACTAATTCCAACACAAATAAACATGAGAACGATGTCACAACAAAAGACATAGGGGAATAAAATAAATGTAATTTT